TCTGCCTTGGTCCTTTCACTATTGGTTGCTACTTCCCGGCAGATGTCAGGTGGTGCAATACCGGCTAAACAGTGTAGTTTCTCCAGTGGTGTAGGGCGCAGACACCCTGTGATAATGCGGCATGTCTCATTAAGAGTCACATCCACTGTTTTAGCATGGGGAGATGTGTTCCACACTGGGCATGCATACTCAGCGGCAGAGTAGCAAAGCGTAAGGGCAGATGTCTTCATTGTGTTTGGCTGTGATCCCCAGGTTGTGCCAGTCAGCTTTCGTATGATATTATTTCTAGACCCACTTTTTGTTTGATGTTCAGGCAGTGCTTCTTGTAGGTCAGAGAACAGTCCAGAGTGACTCCCAGGTATTTGGGTGTGCTGCAATGCTCCAGTGGGATTCCTTCCCAGGTGATCCTCAGAGCTCAGGATGCTTGTCTGTTCTTAAGGTGAAAAGCACATGTCTATGTTTTAGATGGATTAGGGATCAGCTGGTTTTCCCTGTAATAGGCAGTAAGAGCACCTAGAGCTTCTGTTCAACCATCTCAAAGCTCCCTGCTTGAGTGGTGATGGCATGATCTTTAGCATAGATTAAACTCTCTGTCCCTTCTGGCAGTGGCTGGTCATTTGTGTAGATATTGAACATGGATGGAGCAAGCACGCTCCCCTGAGGCAGGCCGTTCTTCTGTTTCCGTCATTTGCTTCTCTGGCCCTGGAACTCGACAAAAAAAGCCCCTGTTTTGTAGCAGGTTTCCTATGAGGCGGGTGAGATGGTAGTCCTTTGTCTAACCATAATCACTCGATATTATAATTTTTGTAATAGTCCATTTTGAAAGACTTTCCTAGATAGCTCCTGAAGACCAGGTCTCTCCAACTTCTGTTTCTAGAGGTTTTGTTCCCATTGGCCTATTCCAAATTTGTCTCTACCGTCTGACTCAGTTCTTTCTTCACCTCTGGTTCCTGTTTTTCATGTTCTGCAATTTCAAACCACATCTTTCTCAGATTGTGGACATTTTCAAAAGCACCTCTCCAGATGTGTTGACGTTTAACCGCCAAAGGTCCCAACCGCTTTAAGTCCCCTTTGGGGAGATAAAGCAGGGTATAAATAAATATAATAACAACAACAACCACCACCACCAGGGTAGCTTGAGTTCAGGAATGCTGGGAGTTGAAGTCCCAAACAGTTGGAGATTGGGAAACACTGCTTTGGAGACTTTTAAGTAGCGAATGGATGGTTGCCCCTCACAGGTGATATACATCCCTTCAGAAGAGATAAAGCAGGGTATAAATTATTATTATTATTATTATTATTATTATTATTATTATTATTATATACACAACAAGATTAGTAGACAGCAAATAAGATCGCTATGCTGTTGGACACTTCCCAAGTATCTAGGACTGTGTAATGTATTGGTGAATAATGCATACAGATCTGAGTAGGGTGGCCTTTTGCAGCTGACAGTAATTTTGTCAGCACCGATTGTTTTTAAGTGCAGGCCAAGGTCTTTAGGCACTACACCCAGTGTGCCAATCACCACTGGGACCCCCTTGACTGGCTTGTGCCAGAGTTGCCGCCACCTCCTCCTCCTACTCCTCCTCCTCCTCATTATTATTATTATTATTATTATTATTATTATTATTATTGCAGTTTAATCTTCAAATCCTCATATTGTGTAAGCTTTCCCAGTTGCTTCTCGTCAATTCTGTTGTTGCCTGGGATTGCAACATCGACGAGCCGCACTTGGTTTTTTTCCACGATTGTGAGCATTGTGCTCCAAAACTCTTGTCAGTCTGGATTTGGAAGTAGTAGTTTGACGTGTTCATTTTCTGTATATTTTTTTTCCGGCTTGTGGTCCCACCAGTTCTTTGTCACAGGTAGATGGTATTTCTGGCACAAGTTCCAGTGGATCATCTGAGCAACGGTATTCTGCCTCTGCTTGTAGTTGGTCTGCTCGATCTTCTTGCAGCAACTGAGGATGTGATCCATCGTTTCGTCTGCTTTATTATTATTATTATTATTATTATTATTATTATTATTATTTGTACCACCAGCAGGTTGGGCTAGATGACCAATAGGGTTACTTCAAGGTTATCATTCCTTTAATTACTTGGAATGGAGGAAACTTCCAGCATGGTTTCATGAATTTTTTGGCATCATTTCTATATAACAAATAGGAACAATCTTGAGCTGAAATTCCCATAACGTCAAGGTAGTATAAGCAAGCCTAGCCAATGGCCAAGGATTCTGGGAGTTGTTATCTGTCTCATCCAAAACATGTCAGGTTGCATCACTAATTCCTTACTATAGACCAAAGTTTGGGGAGCACGGCCAGTGAATAAATGCCTGTAGTTGTTGTGTGTGCTGTCATTCTTTGTTCCAGTGTGTAGCTGCTTACAAAGGACAGGAAAATAGGTCTTTTCCCCTAAGAACCTTATGATCTAAGTGTCTTTAGCAAGAAAGGGGAGAGAAGAGGAAGCAGTGGTAAGCAAGAAAGCATCATGCAGATGCTTCAGTTCCTTGTGCTTAAGCTAGAACTTGAAAAGGTTACTTTCCTTTAAAAATATTTTTATTCCTTAACACATCTATGAATACACTCCATGCAATATTAATATAAACACACGAAACACCCTAAAACTGTTCTGATATTCTTCAAATGCCTTCACCTTAGTCTTCTCACTTCTCACCCTTTTCATTGTCTGCTCATAGTATTCTTAACCCCAAATACATCTTCTATATAAATAAAAATGTAATGTTCGTTTGTGGGATTGACAGAACTCAAAAACCACTGGGGGAATTGACCCCAAATTTGGAGACAAGACACATAACAACCCAATGTATGTTGTTCACTCAAACAAATTGATTTTGTAATTTGGGAGTTGTAGTTCCTGGGATTTATAGTTCACCTACAATCAAAGAGCATTCTGAACACCACCAGCAATGGAATTGAAACAAACTTGGCACACAGTTCTCTCATGACCAACAGAAAATACTGGAAGGGTTTGGTGGGCAGTGTCCTTTGGTTTTGGAGTTGTAGTTCACCTACATCCAGAGATCACTGTGGACTCAAACAATGATGGATCTGGACCAAACTCTACACGAATACTCAGTATGCTCAAATGTGAACATTGGTGGAGTTTGGGGAAAATAGACTTTGACGTTTGCAAGTTGAATTTGCTGGGATTTATAGTTCACCTATTGTTGACCAAAAGGGGAGTGGCACGAGCTCCCACTATCAGTCCCAGCTTCTGCCGGGGAGCGGCATGAGCCGGGGAGCGGGTTAGGGTTAGGGTTTGGGAGTTGTAGTTGCTGGGATGTATAGTTCACCTACAATGACAGAGCATTCTGAACCCCACCAACGATAGAATTGGGCCAAACCTCCCACACAGAACCCCCATCTGGGCCACAGCAACGCGTGGCAGGGGACGGCTAGTATATAAATAAAAATGTAATGTTTGTTTGTGGGATTAGCATAACTCAAAAACCACTGGATGAATTGACACCAAATTTGGACACAAGACACCTATCAGGCCAACGAGTGACCATCACTCATAAAAACACTGATAAACACAGTGGAAGGGACTTAAAATCCAAAAAAACAAAAAGATGCTACAGCGCATGCACAAAAACGACTCCCCAGGTAAACAAAAACACAATAGCATATCCACACTCTCTTCTGGGCTACAGCTCCCAGCATCCCCTAGACCAGGCCCTTTAGGAGAGGAGGATGATCCAAATGCACTGCTTCCAAGATGCAAGCTTTCTTCTCCTTGGATTTCTTTGAGAGCATCCAAGTCCCTGCATATTTCCTATTTTCTATTCCTGGACTGCAACTCCCAGCAATCCTCCAGATAGATAGATTAGATAGAGATAGGTAGGTAGGTAGATAGATTGATCAGGAGGACTGCTAGGAGTTGCAGTCCAAGAATAGGTAGAGAAGGAAGAAGGAGAGAAAGCAAAAGGGAAAGAAAGGGGGGAAGGAAGGAAGAGGAAGAGATAGAAGGAAGGAGAGAAAGAAAGAAAAAAAGGAAAGAGGGAAGGAAGGGAGAGAGAAAGAGGGAGGGGTTGGCCACAGCAACGCGTGGTGGGTACATTATTTAAAATAATAATATCATAGAATCTTACAGTTGGAAGAGACCCAAGGCCCATCCAGTCCAACCCTCTTCTACCATGCAGAAGAAGCACAATCAAATCACCCCATAAAGATGACCATCTAGCCCCTGCTTAATAATAATAATAATAATAATAATAATAATAATAGGATCCTAGAATTGGAAGAGACTACAGGGGGCATCCAGTCCAACCCTCTTCTTCTCGTATCATACAAAAAGAGCACAATCAAAGCACCATAGACAGGTGACCACCTAGCCCCTGCTTGATGTTGATGTTGATGATGATGACAGAATCATAAGTTGGTAGAGACCCCAGGGGCCATGTCCAGTCCATCCCCCTTCTACCAAGCAGGAAAAGCACAATCAAAGCACCCCATACAGATGACCATCCAGCCCCTGCTTAATAATTATAATCATAGGGTTCTAGAATCCTAGAGTTAGAAGAGACCCCAGTCCATTCCCGTTTCTATTTATTTATTTATTTACAGTATTTATATTCCGCCCTTCTCACCCCGCAGGGGACTCAGGGCGGATTACAATGTACATATACATGGCAAACATTCAATGCCATAGACACACAACATATATAGACAGACACACAGAGGCTATTTAACATTCCAGCTTCTGGCCACCAGGGGAGCTGTCGCTTCCTCATTCTTTGCATACTTCCTGGAGATTTTTATGGCCTCGTAAATCAGTCAAATTAGAAACAAAGCGACTGTGCCAAAAACTTTGCAAAAAAGGTGGCAATAGGGAAGGATGAGAAGCCTGAAGAACAGTGGCGTCCTCCAAGTGCTCTCAGAGGGTGCCCCACACATAAAGAACAAGAATTAAGAAACAGTCAGGGGGCTTTTGAACGACATGTGGGGTGCTTATGCTGCCTTTCCTTTTCTGCAGGGCCTCTTCTTCCGTTTGTTCTACCCCTGCATCCCTCAAGATGGCGCCGAGGAGCCTGCCTGGATCCCCCGCTATGAGTACTATTATGGGCTGGCCGACTACATGAACATGAATAGGAAATGGTTTGCCCCGTTGCTCAGCGTGACATTTGGTAAGACAGCTGCTCTCCTTGCAGGACTTCTCCTGGTCCTTCCATGGCACACACTCCAGCAGTGGTTCTGGTTCCCACCTCTAGCTGTAATCCTTTGGACTAGAAACTTGCACAAGGAACCAAAAACTGGCACTACGGTGTAGACCTCAGAGGGCATAGAAAAGCACCATGCTTTCTGAGTCTGAAATGGTTTTAGGTGTTAAGAAAGCGCCTGCCTTGCAAGCGCGATTGGCGGGGACGAGGGACAAGGCCTTCTCAGTGGTGACCCCCTGGCTATGGAACTCCTTCCCCAGGGATATTAGATCGTCCCCTTTACCCTTTTACCCGAAAAAGGGTAAAAACTTGGCTCTTTGAGCAAGCTTTTGAGAATGCAGCGGAATAGATAACATGGAACTATGAATTGATGAACATGGAATGGCTAGATGATGTTACTGGATATGCTTTTCACAAGATGACACCGATGATTAGATGTTTTAATGGTTTTATATATGTTTTTATATTGTTATGTTGATGGTTTTTAATTGCACTTTTATCGAATTGTGCCAACCTGTAACCTGCCTTGAGTTGCCGTAAGGCTCAGAAAGGCGGGCTATAAATATCGTAAATAATAATAATAATAATAATAATAATAATAATAATAATAATAATGGCAAACATGAGTATATAGTCAGCCTATGGGCACCATATGGAGCCCCCGGTGGCGCAGTGGGTTAAAGCACTGAGCTGCTGAGCCTGTTGATCGAAAGGTCGCAGGTTCGATTCCGGGGAGCGGGGTGAGCTTCCGCTGTCAGCCCTAGCTTCTGCCAACCTAGCAGTTCGAAAACATGCAAATGTGAGTAGATCAATAGGTACCACTCCGGCGGGAAGGTAACGGCGCTCCATGCAGTCATGCCGGCCACATGACCTTGGAGGTGTCTACGGACAACGCCGGCTCTTCGGCTTAGAAATGGAGATGAGCACCACACCCCAGAGTCAGACATGACTGGACTTAATGTCAGGGGACTACCTTTACCTTTACCTATGGGACTTGACTCCCCTAAAAGTGAAAAACCACAAATTTTAAAAAATCGCAATTTTATACTGGAGAGAATCTCTCTCTAAGCATTTCTAATCTTTCCAACACAACTTTATGGTGAATATGAAGATGATCATAGAATTCTGCCAAGTACAAAAAATAGCTTTTTTCAGGATCTATATGTTTCAATTTAATAATGTAATTGAAGTTGAATCCAAACAAGACAGAAGTCCTCCTGGTCAATCGCAAACCAGAACAGAGTATAGGGTTGCAGCCTGTGCTGGATGGGGTTCCCCCCCCCCCCCCGAAGACACAGGTTTGCAGCCTGGGAGTCCTCCTGGACTCATAGTTGAGCCTGGAACCTCAGGATCCGGTGGTGGCTAGGGGAGCTTTAGCACAATTGAAACTCATGCGCTAGTTGTGCTCGTACCTTGGGAAGTCAGACATGGCCACGGTGGTCCATGCTCTCATTACATCTAGGATAGACTACTGCAATGCATTCTACATGGGGTTGCCTTTGGAGACTGTTTGGAAGCTTAAATTGGCCAACGAGAGGCAGCCAGGTTAATAACTGGGGCGGCATACAGAGAGCATACAACTCCCATGTTACGTCAGCTCCACTAGTTGCCAGTTTGCTACCGAGCAGAATACTAAGTGCTGTCTTTGGCCTATAAAGCTCTAAATGGCCCCAGCCTATTTATTTATTTATTACGAGCATTTCTATCCCATCCTTCTCGCCTCCGAAGAGGGACTCAGGACAGCTACTAACAGGCACCGTTCAGTGCCAAACAATAAAACAAGCATATTATAAAATTATACATAATATACAAGTGACCTACGTTAAAAACAATTATAATTAAAACAGTTTGCCTAATTTACCTGTCTGAACGCATCTCCCTCTATGAACCACTGCAGAGATTAAGATCTTCCGGGGAAGGCCCTGTCCTGCCGCCGTCACAGGCGCGATTGGTGTGGACAAGAGAGAGGGCCTACTCAGTGTTTGCCCCTCAGCTATGGAACTCCCTCTGTGGTGAGATCAGATCAGCCCCCTCCCTCCTGTCCTTCAAAAAGATGGTAAAAACTTGGCTATGGGACCAAGCCTTTGGGACAGTGCCATAAGGCAGCAATAGGAAACTTTACCCTGCTGACCGGATCTGGTATGGTTGATCTGAGATGATTTAAACAATTTATTTTAAAGTGAAGATAAATTATTTTACTGTTTATGTATATTTATTGTTTATTTTATGTTCTGGCATTGAATGTTTGCTATATATGTGTTGTGCTCTGCCCTGAGTCCCCTTCGGGGTGAGAAGGGCGAAATAGAAATGTTTTAAATAAATAATATACTTTATTTATATTCCGCTCTATCTCCCCGAGTGGACTCAGGGCGAAGTACAGAACACATATATGGCAAACATTAATAATAATAATAATAATAATAATAATAATAATAATAATAATAACAATAATAATAATCTATTTATACCCCGCCACCATCCCCCCAAGGGACTCGGTGCGGCTTACATGAGGCCAAGCCCGCAATACATCAATAATAAAAGCAATAACAAACAACAATACAAAACAAAATAGATCTCATAAACAAAAAATAAGCAATAAACACTGACAATAGCACAACAAACGTTTGAAGAACCTATGGCTGGGCCAAATGTAATAATTAAAAATTTAAAAAATAATGCTGGGTATGAACAGATAAAATATAACTGGGATAGGGTTTTCAGAGAGGTATAGGGGCAATCCTAAGTCAGTAATAAAGTGCATTTGGAGGACATATTTGCTGAGAGTTTCCTATTTACATTACATTAAATGCCGTTACACAATTAACAAGGACAGTCACTACGTAAACACAGGTAAAGGCTTTCCGATCTTTTTCCATCTTGAGGCTGTGCTCGACTCCGGCCACAGGGAGGTGCTGTTGCTCCATCTTCCATGGCGAGGAGCTTTGTTGTCCATAGGCGTCCTCCTGATCAAATTGCTAGCATGTCCTTATTGGTGCCTTTTATTACCGCCCCGTTTAAAGCGGTACCTATTTACCTACTCACAATTCATTTTCCACCTGCTAGGTGAGCAGGAGCTGGGCTGACAGCAGGAGCTCACCGCAACCTGAACTTTAACTGCCAACCTTTCAGTTGGCAAGATTTTCTACATCTAGTGTAACCCGCTGTGCTAAAGCCCGGCCTCTTAAAAAATTACATATTTTGAAGACATTGACTCCACAGTTGCACTAGAGCACCTAGAAAGGGAACATTTTACTTCAATCCCAATTCAAAGTGCTGGCTTTGGCCTATAAAGCCCTAAACGGTTCTGGCCCAACTTACCTGTCCAAACGTATCTCCCCTTACGAACCACTGAGGACTTTGAGATCATCTGGGGAGGCCCTGCTCTCGGTCCCACTTTCGTCACAAGCACGTTTGCCGGGGATGAGAGGCAGGGCCTTCTCAGTGGTGGCCCCTCGGCTATGGAACACCCTCCCTCTTGATGTTTTGGAGGCAAGTTAAAACGTGGCTATTCGAGCAAGCGTTTACAAATACAGAGTAGCTAATATAGGAAATCGAACGACCTGACAATGGAATTGGACAATGCTTGAGAATAATGAGACGCTGATGATGTTGTTTTTATTGCTTTTGTGATGTCTTATCTATATTATGTTTAATGTATACTGATTTGTTGGAAACACCAATTGAGTCGCCAATTGGCTGAGAAAGGCGGTATACAAATACAATAAATAAATAAATAAATAAAACAATCCAATCTGCGAAAGTCAACCCCTCAAATGTTAAAATCTGTGAATGGGTCATTCATAGATTTTCAGTCACTTCCTTTTGGGGGAAAAAAACCACCTTTCCCAGACCTTAAACAGCAAAAATATTACTCAGCTCCTCCTGTTTCTAATGGCATGTATTGTTTCATTTCCACAGGGTCATGCAAAATCCCGGTGAACTGGAATGCTCCTTTTCGATCGAGTAGCCACAAATATCCACTGATCATATTCTCTCATGGCTTAGGAGCAATTCGGTAGGACTTTGCTCCCATTACTTTCCTTGCCAGATAATGTGCCTTTTAAGTCTCTGTGCTGGGATGGGGATGAGTGTCCAGAAGATGAAGAACACAGCAGGTTTCTATGGTTTTCCAGGCTGTATGGCGTTGTTCCAGAAGCATGGCTGACTTCTCTGGTTGAATTAGTCGGTGGTTCCTTTCATGTTCCTTGATTCGTGTTTGGGCACTACGTTTGGTAGTCCCTATGTAGACTTGTCCACAGCTGCATGGTATATGGTAGACTCCCACAGAGGTAGGTGCGGACAAGGCTACATAGTATAGCACCAGATGAACCAACCTGGACATTATTTTATTTATTATGCGTTGCTGTGGCCAGTCTTTGTATATGTGTTTTGTATGTTTACATTATGTGTATATGTGTGAGTGTTATACACATATGTGTTATGTGTATTTGTGTGTATATATTAGTGTATATGTGTGTTTGCATATATATGTGGTTTTGTGCATGTGTTGTAATGTATTTTTGTTTTGTTTTTTGGCTTTTTAAGTCTCTTTCGCTGTGTTTTTCAGTGTTTTTATGAGTGATGGTCACTCGTTGGCCTGACAGTTGTATTGTGTCCAAATTTGGTGTCAATTCGCCCAGTGGTTTTTGCGTTATGTTAATCCCACAAACCAACATGAATTTTTTATTTATATAGATTTACTAGCTGTCCCCTGCCACTCGTTGCTGTGACCCAGTCTGGTGATCTGGAAAATAAAGTAATGAGAAAGTGTTGGTTTCTAATATATGTAATTTCTTTATTCTTGTGGGTAAACAGTATTTCTTGCCTAGGAATTCCAGGCAAGAAACAATCGGGGCCAGCTAATACCTCCTAACAAAGGCAGGAAGCAGCAATTCAATGCTAATCAAGCTGTCCAATTGCAAAGTTCACACTTGCCTCCAACAGACATGAGTTCTTTCTCCCACCCTGGACATTCCGCAGATATATAAACCTCACTTACTTAGTTTCAAACAGACCTCACAACCTGTGAGGATACCTGCTATAGATGCAGGCGAAAGGTCAGGAGATAATGCTTCTGGAACATGGCCATACAGCTCAGAAAAACTCACAACCCATTGATTCCAGCCATAAAAGCCATCTTGCCAGAAAGCCCAGAACGGTACCAAAATTCTCACTCATTATGCGCAAACATATTTTCCACTTTTCTATGGCTGGTGTGGTATCACATTGGAAAAAAACAACTTTGCATCTTGGACTTCAGCTCCAAGTATGTCCTCCTAGCAGTGGCCTTGCTGACTGAGTATTCTGGGCAACGAAGTCCAAAAAGTGATTTTGACAAGCAGCAAAAAGAATCGGAGAGAAATGTTGCGCTCGAGAAGGCCTTTGAACCACACAAGTGAACTGAGTTGCTCAAGTCCCAATAAGTTTTGCAATCATTTTCCTGCCACGTTTGAAGCCTAGATGCCTAACATTCCAGAACAGAGAGTGAGTACGTTTTCTGCATTGAGGGCAACGTTGCAGCCCGTTCTGATAAGAATACAATGCATTGCTTTGTATGGAGTTCAACGAAGAGTCTATTTTTGTCCTGTATAGTCTCCTGATGTTTCACCCACATCTATGGCAGGCATCATCAGAGGTTGTGAGGTCTGCTGGGGCTTATATATCTGTGGAATGATGTGCAGGCTGGGAGAAAGCACTTGTGTCTGTTGGAGGCAATTGGCCAGCTTGATTAGTATTGAATGGCCTTACAGCCTCAAAGCTTGGCTGCTTCCTGCCTGGAGGAATCCTTTGTTGGGAGGTGTTAGCTGGCCCTGATTATTTCATGTCTGTAATTCCTCTGTTTTCTGAGTGTTGTTCTTTATTTCCTATTCTGATTTTAGAGTTTTTTTTATTAATAGTAGCCAGATTGTGTTCATTTTCATGGTTTCTTCCTTTCTGTTGAAATAGTCCACGTGCTTGTGGATTTCAGTGGCTTCTCTGTGTAGTCCGACATGGTGGTTGTTGACGTGGTCCAGCATTTCTGTGTTCTCAAATAACATGCTGTGTCTAGGTTGGTTCATCAAGTCAGCCATAGCATAAGCTATTCAATGGTAATCACGCCTGGTTCCTTCCTGCCTGGAGGAATCCTTTGTTGGGAGGTGTTAGCGGGCCCTGATTATTTCCTGTCTGGAATTCCTCTGTTTTCTGAGTGTTGTTCTTTATTTCCTGTTCTGATTTTAGAGGGTTTTTTTTATTAGTGGTAGCCAGATTGTGTTCATTTTCAGGTTTCTTCCTTTCTGTTGTGGATTTCAATGGCTCCTCTGGGTAGTCCGACATGGTGGTTGTTGAAGTGGTCCAGCATTTCTGTGTTCTCAAATAATATACTGTGTCCAGGTTGGTTCATTAAGTCAGCCATAGCATAGGCTATTCAATGCTAATAAAGCTGGCCAATTGTAACATTCACAAACAGACTTGCCTCCAACACGCAAGAGTTCTTTCTCCCACCCTGGACATCATTCCACAGATTTATAAACCTCACTTGCCTAGTTTCCAACAGATCTCACAACCTCTGAGGATGCCTGCCATAGATGTGGATGAAATGTCAGGAGAGAATGCTTCTGGAACATGGCCAGACAGCAAAAAATTGACAGCAACCCAGTGATTCCAGCCATGAAAGCCTTCAACAACACCTTAATTAGAATTGTTGTCGTTGTTGTTGTGGGCCTTCAAGTCATTTCAGACTTTGGGCGACCCTAAAGTTTAGGGCACCGGATGGGTCAATGACCTTGGAAGGCTGCATCCAGCCTGCAGATCTTCGTTTGGGGACCCCTGATGTAGTGAATTGAGCACTGAACTTGGGCGGCTTACATGGGGCCAAGCCCAAGGCAAAATACAATTAAAAGGAAAGCAATAACAAATTAAGACAGCACAAAACAGCATAAAACAGTGTAACAATAATAACAAACATCAAAAGCAACAGCAGACTAATTTGGGGTGGGGGGGAGAGAGGACCACTATGCGAGCTGGTAAAAGGATAAGGTGGTTCAATAAGGTGGATAGCAACATATAATAACAAAGGAAATAGCGTGGAAACAGAGCAATTTAACAGGATCGATTCAACTTAACTTAAGGATATATAGTAAAGGTAAAGGTTTCCCCCTGACATTAAGTCCAGTCGTGTCCGACTCTGGGGTGTGGTGCTCATCTCCATTTCTAAGCCGAAGAGCCAGCGTTGTCCGTAGACACCTCCAAGGTCATGTGGCCAGCATGACTGCATGCAGCGCCGTTACCTTCCCACCGGAGCGGTACCTATTGATCTACTCACATTTGCATGTTTTCGAACTGCTAAGTTGGCAGAAGCTGGGGCTGACAGCCGAAGCTCCCCGGATTTGAACCTGCGACTTTTCACTCAACAAGTTTAGCAGCTCAGTGATTTATCCCACTGCGCCACGGGGGCTCCTCTCTCTCTCTCTCTCTCTGTCTCTCTCTGTATATATATATATATATATGTATATTAGCCGTCCCCTGCCACGTGTTACTGTGGCTCACTCTGGTGGTAATGGGGGTTCTGTGTGGTAGGTTTGGCCCAATTCCATCGTTGGTGGGGTTCAGAATGCTCTGTGATTGTAGGTGAACTACAAATCCCAGCAACTACAACTCCCAAATGTCAAGATTCTATTTCCCCCAAACTCCACAAGTGTTCAGGTTTGGGCATATTGAGTTTTCATGTCCAGTTTGGTCCAGATCCATCATTGTTTGAGTCCACAGTGACCTCTGGATGTAGGTGAACTACAACTCCAAAACCAAAGGACACTGCCCACCCAACCCTTCCAGTATTTTCCGTTGGTCATGGGAGAACTGTGTGCCAAGTTTGGTTCAATTCCATTGTTGGTGAGGTTCAGAAAGCTCTTTGATTTTAGGTGAACTATAAATCCCAGCAACTACAACTCCCAAATGACAAAATCAATTTTTCTTGAGTGAAGGGCATACATTGGGTTATTAAGTGTTTTGTGTCCAAATTTGGTGTCAATTCATCCAGTGGTTTTTGAGTTCTGTTAATCCCACAAACGAACATTACATTTTTATTTTTATTTATATGGAGATTGATATGGATATGGATATATATATAGGAATTCAGAATCAGGTCATGGTTCAGGTCATGATATAACTCATTTATTATAGGAGTCGTCAGTCGAATGCACAACTAAATATCCATGTCTTTAATTCCTTACGGAATGTGGGTAGGGAGGGTGTCAGCCTAATCTCCCTGGGGAGGGAGTTCCAGAGACAAGGGGCCACCACCGAGAATGTCCTTTCTTCGTCTCCACCAACCGCACCTGAGACGGGGGTGGGAGCGAAAGAAGAGCATCCCCGGAAGATCTTAAGGACCATGTGGGCTCGTAGGGAAGGATGCGGTCACGAAGATAGGCAGGTCCTGAACCATTTAGAGCTTTATAGGTAACTAGCTATCCCCTGCCACGCATTGCTGTGGCCCAGTCTCGTGAGCTGGAAAATAAAGTAATGAGAAAGTGTTGGTTTCTATATATGTAATGTCTTTATGCTAGTGGGTAAACAGTATTTCTTGTTTCTTTGTCAGTGTTTTTTTTAATAATTTTTATTTTTCGTGTTTTTCAAAAGGTTTCTTTGTCAGTGTTGATGTGTTGATTGTCTGGTTTGCCTACTGTGGAACATGCAACATAGAATTGTTCTTCTTTAGGGGTCCCTTTCAAATCTATGATACAATATCTATGTGTGTGTGAATCATATGTGTGTATGTGTATGTGTGTGGATAGATAGATAGATAGATAGATAGATAGATAGATAGATAGATAGATAGATAGATAGCTGGATGGCTCTTTGTCAGGAGGGCTTTGATTACGTTTTCTTGCCCTGGTGAAGGGAGTTGAACTCGATGGCCTTAAGTATTTACTGTTGGTCTTGGGGGTTCTGTGTAGGAAGTTTGCCCCAATTCTCTCTGTGGGGTTCAGAATGCTCTTTGATTGTAGGTGAACTATAAATCCCAGTAACTACAACTCC